CCCGCATCTCAGGGTTCCGCGGGAGAGGGGCCCAGCCCCGCCGCGCCGTCCTCGTCGCTGCCGTCCGTGCCGCTCCCGCTCGGCTCCTGCGAGAGACGCGGCCATCAGAGCCGAAGCTGCGCCCTCCCCTCCCCGCGTTACAACAAGAGCCTCCACCAGCGGCAGGCAGCATCGCCTGTGGAGGAGTACCTCAGCAGGGCTTCCTGCGGAGTCCTCCCCATCGGAGTCCCTCTCTTCTGAGGCTTGAGACAAAATTTCTTCTCCCTAAGTTGAATGCAAAAGACCTGTACTGAGTGTACACGAAGTTGACAAAGTGTGCTAGGATGGAATGGAAGAAAGCGGAATTCTGTTACCATCTTAAATTAATGGGTTTTGTGTAAAGAGCAGGTTTTGACTGTCCTGTTTCTACAGTGAAAGATGACAAAAACATCCAGAACTGGCTTCTGTTAAAGCCATCAGCTTAGGGAGCATGTGAAGAGGTGTTCAAATGAACACCTTTACCTCTTCCCTTCTTTGTGTGTCGTTCTTGCCACTGAGCAGAAGAAGGATCCCCGTACCCATTCATTACAAACATTAAAACCCACCACTTCAGTGTGAGAGCCTTGCTGTAAGGCAGCCCCCAGAGGTACAGGCCCCTAATCTTGAAATAAAACACTTCTTTCTGCTGCACTAGATGTGACTGTAATACAGTCACATTGAATTCAGCCTTCTAGTTCTACCCGCACACAAGGGCAGAGTTACAGTTGTCTGGGCAAGATAAGCATTTTGCTTTCCCAGGCTTTAATTGCCCCAGGCAGGACAGTGATTCTTACCTGAAGATCCCGATTTTTAAGGATGCCCACCCAGAACGCCTCCTGGCAGTGGTTGAAGGCCAGCATTGCCTTCACTCGGTATACAAATTGTTCCAGTGACTTCTTCAGCAAAGGCACATGGTTGGTCAGTCCAATGTCTTGGCGAATCTGAATATGAAACAGTAAAACATGACTATGATTGATTCATGCCTGAGTATTCCGGCTATTTAAAAAGCCATTGGTTATACAGGTGGGAGGGATGGGACACAATCGCCACAAAGTTTGCCCAAACTATGTCACTTCTTGGCCAAATTCTTGTATATGTTTTATTAAAAAATAAAACTCTGATAAGCATTTTGTCTAAGACAGCCAAATGATCCTTTGCAGCAATCCAAACAGCTATATCCACTCTGGATAAAAATAGGAGCCTCAGCTTTTTTCATGAACCTTAGACAGAGGCTAGTAACTCTTCTAATGTAAGTCAGATGAATTCTGCTGACCCTTGGGAAACTATTTTGAGAATCTGCTTTTCATTTGCTCCATCATCTCAGCAAAAGGCTGGTGTCACTTGCTCTGTTCGCCAAGAATGACGCACAGCTCTTAACACACAGATCTCGCACTGCTGCCATCTTGCTCATGGCAGCCACAGCTTGCTTGCACACAAATGTCTGGAAGCTGAGTTGCTGCTGCTGGTGTGTGCAATTGATAATGTTTGGGTAAGTCTGGCTCACCTGCAAATTATTGTTGGTGCAATAGCAGAGTTATCTACAGAGGTCAGCAATGGACAATCACACCGTTCCAGTCCAAAGCAAAAAGCAGTGCTACAAGTGGCCAGACTGCAAAACTACCTGCCTAGGAAGGGAAATAGCTACTTGCTGATAACCACAAGCTGCAAACTAATGCTGCAGGGAATTTCATGTCAGGAAATTGCTGAATTCCCAAGCACAGAGAGGAAAAAATGAGAAAGGTGTTGAATAAGCCACTGCAATAACAATCTCTTCTTGCTCAGTGTCTGATGCAACTCCTTTACACTAGCTACATGGAATGTGTGTGCACTATAAACTCCAAATCCAGCTTGTCCAGACCAAAGCAACAGTGGCTTTTGGAGAACTAGGACAAAGGGAACAGATGCAGTTGCTGTAGGCAAAAACCAGCAGAGGAAGGGGAGCTATGCCAGGTATTGTGCGAGATTTAGCTCTGGATGAGCATCTCTTCCTACTTGGCTTGGATCTGCAGTACAGAATAGACTTGTTGCTAAACCAGGAAACCTGTCAAGAGCCATAAAAAATTACTTTGTGCGTAAGTATTCTCCTCTTTCATGAGGATACTTTGAAACCTTCTTGCATCAAGATGCTCTCATTAGCTATACTCTGAAATAAGTTCAACTTCATTTCCTGGAAGAGTTCAACATGCCTGGGAAGAGGGACACTGCTTTGCTTCGTGTTCTGCCAACGGGGAAGGGTAACCGAGTACTAACAGCAATCTGTTCTCTAGCCTGTGTAACAGGCAGGACCCAGCAATCATCCAGAACCAAACCAGGGAAAACCTCGCTAATGACACAATCAACCATCACAGTGCTCCCTGGGTCTTGGAACCTGCCCAACCGTCTGCAGGCAGTTTGGACACTTGAAAATGCTAGTCAAGTGCAAAGACAAACAAGACATCACAAGCTGCAATGATGTTATCTTGATTACAAGGTGAATTGTGACTTTAAAGCGGGCATGAGGATTTCACTTGCAAACATGAGAAGGTCTTTTTAGCATCTCCAGGGTTTGTGCCAGCTTCCAATTCTCCCCCAGGCTGATAGCTGCAATGGCATGTTCTGATCTCCAGCTAGACTTTTATGGTCCTGATGCCAGCTTTGGACTAAATCGGTAGCAAATCCAGCTTGGGGAGCCGTGCTAATAGCTGGCTTTCTCCCTTCAACTACTTTGGCAAAGCTCCCTTCTCAGACACGTGTTCTTGGAACGTCTTAGGAGTCTAACAGGAACACAGCAGCACAGATGAAGTTCCTTCTAACTGCTTTTTCCCATGTGATTCTCTTGCAACAAGCACCGGCTCACCATGCTGTAAGCAGGGTGCTAATCCTTTCTTTGCTTCCTCCCTCAAGTATCCTACGAAGACTAGCAGACTGGTTGGGTGTTACTAGCTTTCTCCCTTCCCTTTGCCCTCTTCTCTAGTAGTATGAACGTAACAATGCTCAAAAGGCAACTCAAGAGGACTTTGAGTAAGGTTTTCCCCATGTGTGCCTCCTGTTGCTGATTATTCTGACTCGCAAGGCTGTTGATCTTTGCCAAAGCCTCACTGCTGTATTATCAATCTGGCATCTATACTTTACGCAAGGTCTCTAAGGTCTTAGCATATGTCCTCAGAAACACCCGCTTACAGATGCCAACAACCAAAGATGTCAAGAACCTCTGTCCTAAAAAAGAGTATGTTAACCTGAGCTGACATCCAAGTCAGCCACTTCCAGATCAAATACTTCAACTTTTGGACCATTAACCAAGGCTATTCCTTCTCCTCTCAGAGTTTTTGCTGTACAGACACTGCTGGAAGCCTGCAAGTAGAACCTGCCTATGCCCTGGAAAAGCAGTGGAAGAGAAATAAATCATTCTTAAGGCAGGAGTTTGTGCTGCAATTAGAACTTATCTTACCTTGGAATGGCCACACATGTGATGAAGTTGCCTGGTACTCAACTGCAAGGTTTTCAGCAAACTCTGCACATCATCCTGCAATAAATAAGTAGACCAGCAAATCATTCTCAAAGGATTTTTCCGTAAGGGAAACAAGAATAATGAAGCAGTATTAGTCCTAGCAATCCTTTCAAAGGTTATGGAATAGACATATGGTGCACGTATGCAGGAAACATCAGACAAATGGGATGAAGCCATAGTAGGCTTGCACTGTGCATATAAGTCAAGTAACTGGTAATAAAAATACCACCATGTGTCAGAAGGCCAAGCACTTTGAACTAAAACTGAATCAGAGTTTGGAATGAATGCATATCAGAGAAAGTGGGGCAATTAAAATCAAGACGACCTTGTCACATCTTGCCTTGAGTACAACCTTCTGAAATAGGGGAACCAGAGGAAAAGTATAAAACATACTGCGAGATTGTGGTATTTGAAACACATCCAGCATGAACTCTGGATATCAATCCTCTCCATTTAGCAAATTACGTGGACTTTCTATTGTCTAGTGGCAATGACTAGGTATCTGATAACCGCATTCCCTCAAACATCCATGAGAAGAACAGACCTTACATTTGCAATAGAAAGGAGTTGTCTATTAGAGAGACAAGTTGTGAAGACTAAGCCAAAGAATGAGTCTCACTGGCAAAGCTGGACTGCCTTGCAACAAAGTAGGGGAATAAGTGAACTGTTCTTGCTTCTCATGGAGTGCAGCAAGGTTGGCCTGTCCATCTGCACTCATGCATGCCGTCCTGCTCAAAGCTCCAAGAATTATTGCAAAGACACCAATGTCACTGTCCATCTGGACCACAAGCCCTCACCAGCCTGGCTGCTCACGCGAGCTTCCTACTCTCTGAACGACACCTTTGTGGTAATAACTTTTGAAGGAGATGGAGGTTGAAAGCGCTTCCTTTGCTAACAGTGAAGCCATCCAACCAGAAGAGCGATAGCAAGTTGGGGAACAGTGATCTGTTTGCTGAGAGCGCACTGGACAGGCAGGTAAACAGGGCAAAGCACAGCTGGAGACATTAGACAGGTTTGTCATGAAGTGTCACAAGTGTCATGCCAAAATGTGACCAAAGTCAGAAATCTCCTAGCAAGCATCAGTCATGCTTCCCAACTGGTTCCACACAGCTCTGGTTTCAAAAGGCTTACCCTGTGCTTTTTAAAGCTGTAGTCCAGGAGAGGCATGGCAAGCTTCAGAAATGCTTCTACAAAGAGACGGCCATACTATAAAAGAATGATAAATACATCAGAAGGCAAATTTAAATTCCTTTTCAAAGAACCATCACAAAGTCAGAGAAGATAATGATACATTCTTTCAAGCTACCCTGCAGACTGTTCTCACTTAGTAAAAGACTATATTCATGTGAAGGCTGTACTGGAATATACAGGATCAGTCAAGGGTTCCACTTTAATCACTGCAAAGAAAGGCTAGAAGGACAAGGTCTCATCATTGTACATATCCTTTGTTTTATTCACTAGCAAATTGGGAATGAAACTGAACTAAACACAAAATGTTAGAATCACTATACATATATCAGTCCTAGCCAGAAAAGGGAGAGTTGCAGAGGGACACATGATCTTTCTGGGCTCCAAGGAACACCTGTCTGCTGTGATGTCTCCTCTCATTTAGAGTACCTTAGGGAAAGTAGAAAGGCGAAAGAGTCTAAAGTCAGTCATGCCAATTGCAGTAAGTCCATTGTGGTCGAGCTATACGACAAGCATTAGTGGAAGACAGTTAAAGGTATAGGAAACAATATCTGCTTCTTCCAGAGAATTCAGTAACCACTCTACTCCAGTGGAGGCAATGATTCAAGAAAGCTGGTACTTAAACTGCTGTCTTTAGTTATTTTGAATTCTTGCTTACCTTCAGGCAGATGCTGAGTACAGGCCTGCTGTCGAATACCTACTTGGGCAAGAGGAAAAGAGAACCAGATCACTCCACAAGTCTAAAGGAAACAATGTAAGCACAAGCAGCCAATTAAAAATATCCCTTCATTACATACCCTTCATTAAAGTGTGAAACCTGTTCTAAGGCAACATCCATTCTCAAGTTTCAACAGGGAACAACGCATGAAATGTAGTGGCTGTCAGGCAGAAGTATGTGGCAGGATGGCTGTTTGGTGATTTAAGGTGCACTTTTGCAGATGGCACAAAATTACCTCAACGACTCTGAAGTTCTTAATAGTTTGGGACCCAAGAGACCCAAGTCCAGCTGATGGGCAAGTAACCACATAATGGATGAAGCAAAACTGAGATGAGCAAAATAATGTATTTAGGAAGAAATAATGAAGCTATTCCATTAATGGTGCCAGCTGGTGAAAGACACCTGGTGTCACTGCACTGGTCACACACAGCTGTGATCCAACAGCAAACAAAGAAATGGAACAGATAGTCTCAGCTCTCCTGAAGGCTTTCTTCTGGTATACAATTGCATATATAGAATTTGTTTCTGGCAAAAATATAACTAATTAGTGAACATTTTAACTGGCACAGCACACAGATGCAAGTGAGAGCTGTGAAGGTACCCTGGTGCTGCTTATGGATTGTGAAACAGAACCATCTGGTCCAGCTCTACCCTTTATGTTCTCAAAAGGTACGTGGAACACAGGTAGGGCTCCAGTGACTGCTGCTGTGTAGAAGGAGCCAGCTCAATTCACCAGAGGTCATAAGCTGAACTTGAAAAATCTGTACTTGCCAATCATTGCTTCAGACATGATAAAAGCAAACAGTAATGATCAACCTAAGCAAGGAGAAAAGTGCAGCTGTACCTATCGCCTTCTGCCCAAAACATCACCACACTCAGTGACACTGAATGTACCAACACCAAAACTGATGGAAGGGAATATTTCATCTAGTGGGCCTGGCCTCTACAGTTCATCACCACTGGATGACATAACTCGTCAGCAAGATTCAAAGGAAGATCGTATGTCACCATAAAGAACAAGTGAAGCTGAGGGCTATCAGATAAGCACTGAATGCAGGTTACAGACAGGAATGCAAGCCTCCTGTCCAGAGTATTAGCCTGCCTTCAGCTGAGTACATCAGGAGAATGCTTCCCTCTGTCAGATGTTATTCCAGATCTACCTGAGGGGTCTCTCCCATCTGCCTCTTCACAGCTGGCAGTGGACTCTGTCAGACACAAAACACAGTACTAGAGAATTTGTTCAGGCCCTTTTCTGCACTTCCTTACATTATCCATCTGTGCAGACTTCTTATTTGTGTGAGAACTATGTTTGTAAGATATGCAGGCTGTAAGAATTAAGTAGTATTGAAGTGAAAGCTAAATGGAAACCCTTGCACACAGATTATAACTGGCTTTATTTACCACCTCCAGGTTGTTCCACTAGTCAGCCATACTTCACATTTTTCCCTTGTGCTCATGAAGCTGGGTGCACTGGGCTTTACTGAAAATTTGAAGAAAAATCCAGAAAAACAACCAGAACCTCACCTTGACCAAGTTAACGAGGATATGGAAATTCCGCACAGCAATGTTCCACCGCAGCAGCTTCTCCAGTTGCGCCTAATGGGATGCAAGGGGACAATAACCCAAGATGGTGTATTTCCTCTCACCTTGCTGGATACTTGCTCAGCGTTTGCCGTACCCAAAACATTGCTGCTGTTGTTGAAGACAGAGGGACAAAGCCCCACCACAGGCAGATTTATCACAGCAAAACCACTTAATGGCAATTCCAGCCTGATCAGTGCCCATATGGCTTAAAATGCTCTCTTAACACACTTCCTTGCTCTTAAAGCACCTCTTGGTTGCAAGATAATTTTGTGCTCCCACACAGGTGTGCAGGCCAAGTGCACAGCTTCGCATTTTGCTGTTTACTACCTGTTTTCCGGTTACAGCTTCTGCTGGATTTACTAGATTTTTGACATGGTACAAACCAGAAAAAAAAAAGGATGCTACTTACATGTTGCCCTGTAGATCAGTTTTGGCTGATGAACTAAGCTGTCTGACTGCATTTCCTAGACAAAGTTCAGAAGCAGATTCCTTTCCAATTTATACATCTTTATTGTACTGTACAGTGTAACTTATGTATTCTCCCCCTCAAAGAGTCCAGTGCATTTTTTTTTCCTACCTCACTTGAGTCTGATGGTTTCCCAGCTGGGATGCTTTTCACTGAACTCTCAAGCTGAGCCATCATTACTCTGAAGAAAACTGGGAATGTCTGCCTGTGGAGAAAGCGAGAGCAAAACTAAAAGCCAGCTCTGAGCACCTAGATAGGCTTCTTGTCCACAGAACAATGCGGAAAACTTGAAGATTACCCAGCTGGGCATTCTTCTCAATAGGAAATTACAGGAGATTGACCCTGAGACTCATAAGCATGTCTAGCCCAGGCTCATCACCCAGACAGATGGAGAACCTTGGGAAGTCACTACCACTTCCCCAGTATGAACCACACATAGACACCACCCACTTTTTTGTAGCTCTGGGGCTGCACAGTGAAAGGTTTGCAGCTCTCAGCATAAGATGATGTTGGTAGTTCCAAACTGCAGGAACTTCGGCCATCCCTGTATAAACCATGCTTCCAAATTCCTGTGGTAGGAGCAGAAACATCCTGAATGTGCTCTTGCACACTGTATACCAGCCCAGGATTGTCCACAGCCACCCCAGGCCTCTGAGGCTGACTTTCGGAGTGCTTTGTACCACCACAGTAGCACAGAAAGAGGCAACATACCTGACGACAGACAGCAATTCATTCTCCAATTAAAATGGCTCACAAATAATAAACTGAACATTGTGTTAATGCACAAGGACATTCCACCTTGACATCAAGCTAACACTGTACTAACCTGTACTGCCAAAAAAAAGTTTACAAATGCCCAGAGTAGTCCACAGCAGTACTAACAGGAAACCATAATAGACCACAAAATAAGAAAATTAAATATTAAAAAGCAGAAATTGCCATTATGCATCTCGTGAAATTCAAAGTTTCTATTGATATAATTACCTGTTTAGTGTAGGATAAGTAGAAGAACATGCTTCTTTGGCAGAATTGATCAGTTCAGGAACACCGACACTGGAGATTTCTTCTATAGCTTTCAGGATGTTATCTGTGTGCTCCAGGTAGACACTAAATCCAAAATCAGCTTAGTTCATCAGTAAACATTATGCAGAAAGCCTTGACTTGTAAGGCTTTCAAGACTGTCTTTGGTAAGATCCTCATAGAGTAGCTGTTGAAGTACAGGCTGGATGAGTAGGCAGTGAGCTGGACTGAAAAAAACTGGCTGAACAGCCAAGCTCAGAGGGTTGTGCCCAGGATGATCCCTGGCAGTCTGGTCTAGGTCACCCTGCTGGAGCAGCGGGGTTTGAACAAGGTGACCTCCAGAAGTCCCTTCCAACTCAACCATCCTGTAATTCTGTGATTTTATTTCAACTAATGCTCAGTCCTGCTCTCCTGGACTTGAGTGAGAGCTGATTCGCTTTCAGTTTAAACAAAACCAGATACATTGGTCCAGATCACAGTTATATGTGTATGTATGCACACATACATGTATAGATGTGTTGATGTATGCTGACAAGCTATAGTCTGGCAAACATGAGGTCTAAACATACTTCTACAGCCAATGGCTAACAGAATTCTTCCTGCCACTCACTATCTTTCAGTGCTTTAGGCCAAACTGTTTAAGTATGAGCATTATGATTGAGAGGGGTCATTCCTCTGCAGCAACAGTAATTATCAGAAAAAGAGTGTCTCCGCATGCTTGAGATAACGGCTTGAGCCTTACCAGAGCAGAATATGCAGCGCACTGTTGAACTGGCTGCCCTTCTCTCGGTCTCCACTGGGCTTCACCCATGACTGGCAGAGGAACTGCTTTGCTAAGGAAGCTGTAAAAGATAAGGGATAACTTACTGAAGGAAATAGATGTGTTTCATTTCCCACATATTGCAAGAATGCAAAACAATTTCCTTCTTCCATATAAAGGTAGTGTGTTCCAATGGCTTTTTGAAAGATCATAATACCACTACCCCACAATATGCCTGAACTTATGTTAAGTCAGAATACATTTCTCCTAAAAAACAGTAAGGCCACAAGGACATATATCATGATAATAAAATATATACATATCCAGTGTGTTCCCAGTCTGGAATAGCTGTTTGCCTCAGAACAGCGATCCATCTCTGGCCATTTCTCCCTGACAAACTTACATTAAGCATTATTTGTTTGGTAGCTCCTACAGTGTGCCAACTGTTTGTTTTTAATTAGGGAAATATGCAACCCTTGAGGCATTCATTTCCAGAAATGGAATTCCAATAACAAGTGACTCGAATTTTTGGCCACAGTGCTATAATGATAAATGTGAACAGGCAAGTTTAAGTTTACACATTTCTTAAATAAAAACTGCTAACAAACCTACTTGTCTCTTGCAGAAATGTTTAAAATTAGGAATTTATTAGTTAGAATTGGTTATTCCCAGCCACACTCACTGAACAGTTCTCCCAATGTAGGACTGTTTAAAGTAGGAAAATAATCTCAAAGTAGGGAACTTGCAATTCTGAGTGGCTATGGGGATCTAAGAAGGACAAATTCTAGGGGTGTCTTAGGTATGACAAGGTATGGCTGAGAGAGGTGAGACTGTCTGTCACACACTGAAATAAAGATTCCGAAGTGGAGACCAACTAGTTTTCTTGTATATTCCCTGCAAGCATGTCTATGCCTTATCTGTTGTTGAATGCTGTTCCTCTTGCAGAACAGGTCCTAATCCCTCAGAAGAATTCTCTTAATTGAAAACATTTGTTGCATGGGTTTAAGAACATACAGGCTTTCCTCCCTCTGCCCTGATTTAACAGCTGTATTTGTAGTTCATTTCCATAATTTTTGGAAATGAGCTGTCACAGCATACTGAGACATCTGTACTTACACTAGGATGTTACATCAGATTAAGTCTATGATCACGTCCATAATCAGTGACTAAACTGGTACCAAAATTGAACAGCAGGCTTGTTATTAAAAGCTGTGAGGCTTTGATTTTTAAAAACACCAGCTAAGAGAGCTGGAGCCTGCCCTCCTGCATGTGACTGAAGAACAGAAAAACAAATACCAAAGATGTTCCAACATACTTATTGCTATTCCTTTTATTAACAGCTAGAGCTGTTCACCCCAGTGAGATTACTAGGATACCAAAGGGAAATCTCTCCCCCAAAAGATGCACTCCAGAGGGAGAACCCAAGTCTTACAGGCAAAGGACAGCATGAAAATGAATTAGAGGTTCTTCACACATTACCCATTTTCTCTCTCTTCCAGCCAGCCATTGGTTTCTCAGCAATGGCAATCAGGATCTGAGTGAGGATGAACGCACAGTGGAAGCTGGGAACACTCTGCTGGAAATTCAGCAGGTAGTGAAAACTCTCACTGGGGATGACAGGAAAGGGAAAAGGTAAAAACAGTGTAGATAGGGTAATCTCCCAGAAACATATAAATAAAAAGGAATTATTAGACAAGCTCAGATCCAAGGTCTCCCTAGCCCAGTATTTTGTCTCTGGCAGTGTCCTCCTGAAGAAGGAGGGGTAGTCAACCGCTAACAAGATAAAAATTCAGTTCACTGAGAAACTTCTTTCAAGCCCCAGTTGCTCTAAGTCTAGCAACATCTTTATACACTGCTTTTCCCTGGTGCTCCTTTAGGCATTTTAACTATCCAGAACATACGCATTCCTCCTGCGAATCCTACTAATCCCCGAGTCTCAAGCAGCATAGAAACAAATGAGATCCATAGATTAATGCGTATTTTATAATCCAGTAACTCCTTTTCATTAGGTTTGACTGCACTACCATTCAATTAAATACAAAGTGCTCTGAAGATAGTATGGTCTCTATGAGAAATCCCAAACACCCATCATGCTCACACAAAACAGAGAAAACTGCTTGACGTTCATCCCTTTCAGAGCTTGGGAAATACTGATTCTACCTTATCAGTTCCTCCAGAAGAAGAAACTCTGTCTCTCCTGGCTTTAGCCTTCCTGCAAGCACCTGGAGAGCTGACCTCAGCAAGTCAGTATTTTCGTGCTGAGAAAAACCATTCCTGAGGGGGGAGAAAAAAAAATATTCAGTTCATCATCAGACTAGCAGGAAGAGAGGTATCAGATGCAAAAGCATATCTGGGCATATTTTTGCAACAAGAAAAATAAAGAAGCTGAATATGCAAGAAGAATCCTGCAAATGAAATTTAAAAGGGGACACAAAAAACTGAAAACTGATTCTGACCACAAACTTAGTTCATACACAGTTTATCTTTTCCAAGGAACGGAAAACCTTGTGCACACACAATACTAACTTTTCAGTTAGACTGCAGACCTGGCTAGGAGAGGACAGGCCATTTCACATAAGTGGAGGTTCATATATACTAAAATAATGCTATGCAGACCTGAAAAAAAGAGGATGTCTAATGACAGTTGCTGTGCAAGTGCAGTAATAGTGGCTGGTCACCTCTTGAACAACAGGTAGAAGCCTAACAGGGAGGAAAACTGCAGAGCTCTTCATTAATTCTTTGAAATACCGGTGTCTGTGAAATCATTCAGTGAGGATACGCATTCTGGAAAGGCTCAAATGCCTCCGTGTTCTAGATCTATAGACTGAATGCAAAGACTTGATAACAATAATGCTCAAGTGCACCTTTAACACACAAGTTAATTAACAATCAGTAATATAAGAGGGCTTGATTAAATGTATTTAAAAGGAGTTGTAATTCGGCTGTTGGACTTCAGTAGCTGGACAGGTAGCCCAAATATATGGCTGCCTGACCTACAGCAAAACAGAATTATGTTACTCTCTATCCAAACTGAACAACAAAATTTATCTTGAGTTGCCTGTGGTTACAAAGTGGGCCAGTTTCTTTGGTTTACACGGTGGGTACACTCAGGAACAACCAACATTCATACTGGTTAATGAGAAAATGACTAATCCAGGAATATTCAGGAGTGAATCAGGATCCCTGAGGCTCCAGCACTGGCCAACAGGAGAAGCAGACCTCAGACACTTTTTACACAGTTGCTACTGTTTTTTTAAGTACAAAGGTAAAACACTTTCCACACACAGATCTAAATTAGGGTTCAGAAAGAACTTCTGTAATGCTATCCTGCATTATATTAGCAGGTGCAGAGGTCAAATCCAGGCTGCACAGGCATTGAGTTTGGCATTTATGAATCCAGTTCGAGTGCATCAGCAGCACAGACTTTTCGTCAATGAAGTACACATTCATCCTTTCCCGTTGGCAAAAGAAATTCTTTCATTGCTCAGGATTCAGGAAGTGACTATTTAGCAAAGGATGAGGGGACTTACTGGCTAAGACATCCCAAGATCCCTAGGTAGAATGGAAGTTGCACAGCTAGGTGTGCCAGTATGCCACTTATGCTGGTTTTGATCCAAAACCACATTGAATACTAGCCAGTTCAGTGCCTCATCATACATTCACTGTTAATGACCTACAGTTTTAGTTCAGCTCAGGATCAGGTAATGAAGCTTGACATAACTATAAACTCCTTAAAAGTCTGCAACCAGTGCAGCGTGTTGTTCTGCATGGCTGACAGACCATTTGCTGGGTACAAACACTTTAAAGAAAAGGAACAAGAAGAGGACGCAATAAACAGACTATGCTCATTTAGGCAACTATATACTCTTTTGTTTAAACTCACCAAGCAAATAGGGAACGAAAGGTTAGTAACAGCTGTTGGTAACAAAAGGACATCAGCTGGTGCTCCTGGATGTTCAGTCGTGGCTCATCTTCCACACCCCGATTTTGTATAACAACTGCCTTTAATACAGAACAAATAATTCATTAAATGCTATTCCAAGGAAAGATAATGGCACAAGAATCCATCTCCGTAAACTCCATGGTTACAAACCCTGAAGAAAACAAAGCGAGACTCTTTTTCCCACAAACAAAATGAAAAATACCTTTAGAAGTGACAAAACTTGACAGTTTGAGTCAAAATTGCTGCCCACTGACCTGGAAGTAGTTGTGCATGTTCTCCATGTGATTACACAGCGGCTTTAGTAGCTTGACTACACACACAGCAACTTCCTTGGGAGATCTCTGACACAGGTGGGAAAAGCCAATATCCTTGCAGCCTCTTTCCTGCAGCAAACCCAAAAGATTAAAAGTCACCTCATCAGACTTACTTGAGAATAACTTCGCATCAAGCGCCACCTCTTAGACTGCTTCTGAGCAGTGCAATTCCTGCTGTCATACACTCTGTCAGGAAGGGTCACAGAATAAGAAAGTTGGCTTCTGCTGAACAGCCATCACCAACTCAAACAAGTGGATAACATTTGATTAAAAGAATAAAACAGATGTGGCATGTAGATCTTTTACATTTTACTCAAACACTAAGAGAAGACAGTCTCTGCACGTGGGAATTAAGACAGGTAGAAAGACAAGGAGAAAGATCACTGAACATGATGGGGTCCATCAGATTGTAGTGAATTTCTTAGTTTAATGCAATGGGACACACAGATTTACTTTCCTCCTGAAGGCATCAGCCAGGCATGCAAGGAATGACTGCACTCAGAGTGTTCTTCTAAAGACTACAGAAAAAGCAGAACCAGATCTGGCAGCTTGGATCCGGCAGCTATCTGGTCTGCCTAACCTGAGCTGCTTCTTGAACAGCAGAGCCAGTCTCCCCAAGGAGGGCTAGAAAAAAAGTCACTTGAATTTTGAGACTACAAGGCCTCAATTATACACCCTCTCCTGAGACATGCAGAGAACAAAGTGCTGCAAACACTTCAGTGAGGGAAGTGGTACAGAAATCTCTTTTGAAAGAGCAAGCACTGCTCTGACACACAGTTGGGCATCAGACTTCCATTTAAGTGTTAGGTGAAAATAATTCTGAGAAACATTTCTCTCAGGAAAGGCCTGAAGGCCGCTGATGTGCTCTGGCTCAGCCCAGGCGTAGTCCCATCGGCTGCTGCTGTACTTGCCTTTGGAAAGGGCACTCTCCTTGTGGAGCCCGGGATCAGCACATGATCCAGCTTCCAGCACAGGTCATCCAGAAGAAAGCAAAGTTCAGCAG